CCGGGTGTGGTGGTGGCATCTGTAATTCCAGCTACTCGGGAGGTTGAGGCAGGAGAATTGCTTGAATCCGGGAGGCAGAGGTTGCAGTGAGCCAAGCTCACGCCACTGAACTCAGCCTGGGTGAAAAGAGCAAGACTCCATCTCCAAAAAAAAAAAAAAAAAAAAAAGCCAGTTGTGTTAGTACATGCCTATAATCCCAGTTACTCAGGAGGCTGAGGCAGGAGAATCACTTGAACCTGGGAGGCAGGGAGGTTGCAGTAAGCCAAGCTCATGCCATTGCACTCCAGCCTGGGTAACAGAGCAAGACTCTATCTCAATTAAAAAAAAAAATGTTTAGAAAGTTTACAGTGTGTGAAAAAGGTTTATAATAAATTGTTAACTGCCTTCCTACCTTTAAATAACACTACAGGCCAGGCACAATGGCTCACACCTGTAATCCCAGCACTTCGAGAGGCTGAGGCAGGTCAGGAGTTTGAGATCAGCCTGGCCAAGATGGTGAAACCCTGTCTCTACTAAAAATACAAAAATGAGCTGGGTGCGGTGGCAGGCACCTATAATTCCAGCTACTTGGGAGGCTGAGGCAGGAGAACTGCTTGAACCCTGGAGGGTTAGGTGTGGTAGTGTGTGTGCCTGCAGTCCTAGCTACTCTGGAGGCTGAGATGGGAGGATCACTTGAACCTGGGAGGTCAAGGCTGCAGTAAGCTGAGATCATGCCACTGCATTGCAGCCTGGGTGACAGAGTAAGACCCTGTCTCAAAAAATAAGCAAACAATTCCATGAGACAAGAAATCTAGTATTCCTGGAAAAAAGATGAGTAAAACTATCTTTTTATCCTACTAGTCATCCCATTTGGCAAAGAGTAGGAGACAGACACTGGTAAATTATCTTGCCATAAATGTTAATTAACAAGCATAGAATAAGTGTTGAGTATTACCTTCTCTGTCTCCCATCAGGACTCAATTGACCTTCTTCATCCAGTGATTGCAATTTCAAATACCATGCAGGTAATAGAAATTAGTAAAAATAAACAAGTGGAAGAAAACAAAATCATAGACATAATGAACAACAGCAACTAGCCCTTAATCTTGGCATTAAACTTTTTTTTTTGGGGGGGGGGGGACGTGATCTCACCTGTTGCCCTGGCTGGAGTGTAGTGGCATGATCATTGCTCACTGCAGCCTTGAACTTCTGATCTCAAGCAATCCTCTTGCCTTGGCCTTCCAAAGTGCTGGGATTATAGTTGTAAGTAATCACCATACCCAGTCTTGGCATTTACTCTAAGAACAGGGTGAGAACTACAGTGAACTGGAGAGTACAAGTTCATTCCAGAGGGAGCAATTGCTACTTAGCTCCAAATAGCCTTTACTTTATGGGAATGTAAGTCCAGTGTCATCAGATTTTAAGTTGGAAATATTATTATGTACAATCTACTGATTTACAATATTGGATACTCACTCGAGTTAAAAAAAAAAAACAAAAAAAAAACACTGTTGGTCACAGTTAAAAAGCACTGTCGGCCGGGCGCAGAGGCGCAAGCCTGTAATCCCAGCACTTTGGGAGGCCGAGGTGGGTGGATCACGAGGTCAAGAGATCAAGACCATCTTGGTCAACATGGTGAAACCCCGTCTCTACTAAAAATACAAACAATTAGCTGGGCATGGTGGCGCGTGCTTGTAGTCCCAGCTACTCAGGGGGCTGAGGCAGGAGAATTGCCTGAACCCAGGAGGCGGAGGTTGGGGTGAGCCGAGATCGTGCCATTGCACTCCAGCCCGGGTAACAAGAGCGAAACTCTGTCTCAAAAAAAAAAAAAAAAAAAAAAGCACTGTCTGGGCCAAATATTACACATAAGTAGGTCATCTTTATGCCATTCAATGGTTTCAGCTACCACATATATGCTGCCAGATGTCAAATCTACATCCCCTCATAGACTGCTCTCCCAAGCGTCAGATCCATGTATCTGTCTCTTGCCTAGCTTTACCTTGAGGTAACATCAGAACCTCAAATTCAAATGCCTAAAATGGAACCCATCACCGCCCCCAACCACCCTAACCTGGTTCCCAGGTCTTTGTTCCTTATCTCAGTGAAATTGCACCAACAAACATCTAGTTTCCCAAGTCAGAAATCTTGGAGTCACCCTCAACTTCCTCTCTACCCCAACCCATCCTATTGCTAACCAAGTCTAAGCAATTTTATCTCTGGAATTCTACTTGAATCCATTATTCCCCATGCCCACCATCACTGCCATTCTTCAGACCTCACTTTAGTTTTTCTTTAACTAAAGACTCACCTAACCTCTTGTCTTTGGTGTCTTTACTCTCACTAGAATGTTATTTCCAAGACACAAACTTGATCTTGTCATTTCCCTGTTTAAAACTTTCCAATGGGCCGGGTCTGGTGGCTCACGCCTGTAATCCAAGAACTTTGGAGGCTAAGGTGGGCGGATTACCTGAGGTCGGGAGTTCAAGACCAGCCTGACCAACATGGTGAAACCCCGTCTTTATTAAAAATAAATAAATAGGCCGGGCGCGGTGGCTCAAGCCTGTAATCCCAGCACTTTGGGAGGCCGAGGCAGGTTGATCACGAGGTCAAGAGATAAAGACCATCCTGGTCAACATGGTGAAACCCCATCTCTACTAAAAATACAAAAAATTAGCCGGGCATGGTGGCACGTGCCTGTAATCTCAGCTACTCAGGAGGCTGAGGCAGGAGAATTGCCTGAACACGGGAGGCGGAGGTTGCGGTGAGCCGAGATCGCACCATTGCACTCCAGCCTGGGTAACAAGAGCGAAACTCCATCTCAAAAAATAAATAAATAAATAAATAAATAAATATAAATTCTTAGGAGTTGAGCATGAATCAGAAAAGAAAAAAAAAAAGAAAGAAAATTAAATAAATAAATAAAATAAAATAAAACTTTCCAATGGTTTTACATTGAAAAGTGACAGAGTTGCCCGGTGCAGTGGCTCAAGCCTGCAATCCCAGCACTTTGGGAGGCCGAGGTGGGTGGATCACGAGGTCAAGAGATCGAGACCATCCTGGTCAACACGGTGAAACCCCGTCTCTACTAAAAATACAAAAAATTAGCTAGGCATGGTTGTGCGTGCCTGTAATCCCAGCTACTCAGGAGGCTGAGACAGGAGAATTGCCTGAACCCAGGAGGCGGAGGTTGCGATGAGCCGAGACCGCGCCATTGCACTCCAGCCTGGGTAAGAAGAGCGAAACTCCATCTCAAAAAAAAAAAAAAAAAGAAAAGTGACAGAGTTCCAACTTCTTAGCCTAGTGTTCAGGGGCTTTGTCATCTTATCTTTCCAGGTTCATCTCCTACCGCTTCCCCAACCCCCAACCAAAACTACAGCCACACTGTATTACCTTCAATTTCCATAATAGGGCATAGTTTCTCTGCCCTAGCACATTTACACAGGCTGCTCCTACTGCCTGAATTGTCCTTCTCTCACTCCCTACACTATATCCTCATTTTCTTGGTTCCTCAAACCAAGCATTAATCATCTTTTCTGGGAAGCAGCCCTCACCATCAATATCCTTCTTCAGACTGGTAGGTATCTGTTCTCTGGCCCCATAATACTCTGCATATCTCTGTTTTCATTATCTATTACTTCACTGATCCCCCAATGAAATGGGACCTAGTTTAGTACAGAGACTTTATCTTACTTCTGTAGTTTCAAGACTGAGCATAATACCTGATCCATAATAGGCATTCAACAAATGTTGCATGAATGAATCAATCAGTCTAGTCCAACTCATGGTACCAATGGAGAAATCTCTTGTTTTCTCAAGATCATGTGATGGATCAGTGATGGAGCTAGAGAACCCAAGTCTCCTCACTTTCAGCTCAGCACACTTTCCACCAGAACAAATCAGCTTTTGATGAGGGCAGGGATTGAAGTTTGGCCCTGAAAGGAAGGGTTGACATGGAACAAAGTGGTGGTTTTAGGGAAAAATGGAGGAAATGAGAACAGCAAAACACATTTATTAGTCATCCTTAACATGAATGCTTCTCAAAAATATCTCACTCAGGCAACCTAATGTCAAATAAGACAGTTCATAGCTGGCATGAGCATAAAAAAGAGGGGATAGACCCCAACCATTAAAGATAGAATGAAACTTGTAATCAGAAATCTTAAATAGAAATACAGCATACACTATGCACCAGGTATTATTCTAAGTATGTACATTTATTCATTTAATCCTCACAATAACCCTCTGTAGTAATAATATTATCATGCCATTTACAGTGGCCCATGCTTGTAATCCCAGCTACTCAGAGGCTGAGGTGGGAGGGTCTCTTGAGCTCAGGAGCTCAAGACCAGCCTCGGCAATAAAATAAGACCCTGATACCAAAAATAATAAGCCAGGAAAGGTGGCTCATGCCTATAATCCCACCACCTTTGGGAGGCCAAGGCAGGAGGATCCCCAGAGCCCAGGAGTCCAGACCAGCTAGACAAAATAGGGAGATCCTGTCTCTACAAAAATAAAAAAATTTAAAAATTAGCTGGACATGGTGGCACATGCCTGTGGTCCCAGCTCCTCAGGAGGCTGAGGCGGGAGGATCACTTGAGCCCAGGAGGTTGAGGCTGCAGTGAGCCATGATGACACCACTGTACTCCAGCCTGGGTGACACAGTGAGACTCTGTCTTAAAATAATAATAGTAATTATATCTTTATTTTATAGATAAGAAAAATGAGGCACTGAAAAGATTAAGTAGTTTGAGTTTTCACAGGTAGGAAATGGCAGATCTAGGATTTGAATAAGGCAGTTCGGTGCTAGAATCCATGTCCTTAACCACAATGCCTGAAGCATAATTCTGAACTGGGCAATCAAAAGGGGATCACCCACATTTTGCTGTATGGAGTATGAATTACCTGATGGAGTAAATTTTGGTTCTAAATACAGGGAGAAGGTGGCTCAGCCTGGGCCTCTGTGGGGGATGGGAGTTCTTTGTTCTGTGATGCAATGATGACCTCAAGGTAAACTGCCACTGGGCTAAGGAAAATGGAATGGCTACTGGAGGACCTGCTCAGGGCTGAGGGGGATATGGGACTTCTCTGGGGCCAACTGACCCATGTCCTAGCCTGCAGACACTGCGGCAGCAGCTGCCTTCAGAGTCCAGGAAATCTGGTGACACTATTCTTATTCTTGGTTTGGCAGATCCGGAGATGGTGGCAGCTTGGGAGGTTGCGACAGCTTCATCTCTGGTGCTCTGGGGAAATGGTGCAAGGCAAGGTGGGTGACCTCTGAATGTACAGCTGGATGAATGACTGTTGACACCACGTGAGGTCACTGGTATGAATGTGGGCCCAGGTGAGTGACTGTTAGCCCTAGATGTGAGGCTGGGTGAGTAACCACTGACACTAGATTTGAAGCCAGGTGACCATGGACTCCAGATGTAGGGTTATGTGAGAGAATACTCATCTCCAAATGAGGATTGGGTAATGACCATTAATACTAGATGAGGAGCTACGCAGGTGACTGACCACACACGTGGGATTGGGTGAATAACTGTCCACTGTGGATGTGGAGCAGACTGAGTCCCTCATAACAAATCTTGTGTATCTGAAAAGGCTTCATGCCTGAGAGTATCTTTCTCTACTTCCCAGGACCTGCCACTTCTGTACCATGTGGGCTTTCTTGATTGCCTGTGTAAGCAGAAATCAGAAGTGAAGGAAGAAGAAGGGGAAGAAGAGGAAGAGGGGGAAGACAAGGCATCTCTGGATCCACTGGAGCCATGTTCTCCCATCAAAGAAGCTCCCAATGAAGAGCAAGTCACTCCAGCCCCACTCCAGCCATCCTGTGGTTCTGAGGGCCTTCTCAAGACCACAGGGATACCAGAGCAAACAGTCACGCAGCCCATGAGCCCTTCCAGATCCTTCCCCATCTTCCAGATTCTGACCAACTTTCCTGTGAGGCACAAGATAGCATCAGGAAACCACCAGCAGCAGAGAAAAAGCCAGCTTTTCTGGGGTCTCCCCTCTCTGCACAGCGAGTCCTTGGAGACCATCTGCCTAAGCTCAGGTGGCCTCTCTCCTCTGAAGTTGTCTGTTTGTTCTTCTGTCTTCTTCAACAAGCTTGTCTTCCTACCTAGGTCCAACCTGTTGTTGCCCCAGTATCACTCCTCAGCCCAGTTTTCTACCCATGAAGCCCATACTATGGAAGATCTAGACAGGATGGCCCCCGATCCGCAGTTGCTTCCACCTCCATCATCTCCTGTCTCATCACTACCCCTCCATCTGAAGCCCTTGCCTGTGGATCAAAAGGGAGTTCTATTTGGTGCTGAGGTACCCACACAGTCCCCTGGAACTAGCCTCCTGGAAGTTCTCCCTGGATATGAGACTCAGTTAGAAACCAGAGGACACAAAAAGAGGCCCCAAGCTTTTCAGTCTCTGACACGAGCCCCCTGCCAATCCCCAGTTTCTCTGTCAGAATCCAAAAAAGTTAGCCTTGAAGGAGAACTTGCTATACCTAAGGACTTTTTGGGAACCACGGGATACAAAGAGAAACCTCAGGCTTCTGAGTCTTCAATGACAGTCCCTTGCCCTCCCCTAGACTCCCTGCCAGAACTCCAGGAACAGAGTCCCCTGGAAGACCCATCCAGATATAAGTCCCAGTGGGAATGCACAGAAAACTCAGGAAACCTCTGGGCTTTTGAGCCTCCAGCCATGGACCTCAATCCAGGGCTCTCTGGAACCAGCCCTGCATGTGTCCCATCAGGATCTGAGACACCATGGAAGGGCATGCAGAGTAGAGAAAATATTTGGGTCCCTGCAGACCCAGTTTTACCTCTCAGCCTTCCCTCAGCCCCTCTCCTGGTATCTCTAGTAATGGGCCTCCAGGGAGTCCTGTCTGAATCCAAAGCTTTGTGGGAGACCAGGGGGAAGAAAGAGAAGCTCTGGGCATCTGATTCCCCAGAATCTGTTCATAGCACACCTCCAACCTCCCTTATAGAACCACAAAGAATCAGTCCTGTGGAAGGCCTCACTACTTCAGAAGCTACATGGAAGGACACTGAGTATTCCACGAATTCCTGGGCTTCTAAGCCCCCATCTCTGGCCCTCAGCCTACCCCCAGCTCTTGCTCTGGAGCCACTCAGAGTTAGATCCATAAGGTTTGTGTCTAATTCTGAGGCTAGATATGGAGACATACAAAGGAGAAAGAACTCCTGGGCCTCTAAGCACCCAGCTTGCAGGTCACCCCAAGACCTGCATGGAGCCAGCCCTCTGGGAGTCTTGTCTGATTCTCAGCCTACTGTATGGGAAATGGAGCAAAAAGAAAACTGTCCTCCTGTGTCCCCAGGTGGGGGACCCAGCCCATCCTCAAACTGTGTTTCAAAGTCCCACATAGGTGACCCTATCGCAGACCAAAGCAACTGTAAGCCTGACAGGGGAGCAGTGGAGCAAAGAAAGAACCACTGGGCCACTGAGCTCCCAGCCCCCAGCTCACTCTCTACTCCTCTACCAGAGCCACACACTGACCATGAATTTGTGTGGAGAAATGTACAACAAAGAGAAGTTCCCCAAGGCCCCAGCTCTCCTGCAGTGGATCCCCTACAGCCAGTACCCTGGCCTCCCACCCTAGCAGAAGCTGTAAAGATTGAGCCCACCCATCCTGGTCTACCCAAGGGAGAGACATTCCCAGGGTTTAAGGCAGAGGCCCCACTCTCCCACAAAGGGACTGTCCCAGAGGTGCTTACCCACTCTGGGATCCATGCCTGGCAGTGGAGTAGAGAGCTGAAACTCAGGCTGAAGAAACTGCGGCAGAGCCCTGCCTCCAGAGCCCCTGGCCCAAGTCAACCATTTTGTAGTTCCCCTATTCTGAGCACCACAATTCCAAACTCCTGGGGACTCCCTTCCTGCCCCCCACAGCAGATTAATCCCCCCAATCTATGCCCCCACTCTTCAAGTTGTCATCCTCAAAAAGTTCAGGGCACAGTATCTCAGCCTGTCCAGTCCTCCCACAGTCATTACTCCCAATCCTCCTCCCAGCTTCAGCCACAGAAGTCTGGCAGGGCAGAACAAGGGTCTCAGAGATGGAAGAAAATGAAAGGGAAGATGGTGGGCCAGATCTCATCCCAAGGGCCATGTGTACACATGGAGGCTGGTGTGAACTATCCATCTCCAGGCCCAGAACCCTCAAACTCTAAGGTTATGGTCTCAGGCAAGAGAAAGGGCAAGGCTTCAGCCTCATCCTCAGCCAAAAAGAGAGAGCACCCTAGAAAACCCAAAGTGGGAGACCATAGAGGAGAGAATGCAAGATTGGGGTTATCCACAGTCACAGGGAACAACCACCCTGCCCAGGCCAGTAGCCTAATAGAGGCCCCTGTAAGCACATTTTCCCAAAGGTCTCAGCACAGGGGCAAGAGCTCTCAACATACTGCTCTTCCCCAGCAGCTTCTCCCCAAAGCTTCACGTCCCCAGGATCAGCCAGTGGCAGGGCTGACAGCAAGTGACATCCCAACTCCTCACCACTGTAAGCACTGTCCTTGGGCCCGCATGGAGAAGCATCCCTCCTCCCCTACCCTCAAGGTTTCCCTTACCAGGGGTTTCCAAAAGGTGTTAGCCAAATGCCTGGGTAACCGTCGACCTCTACCTCCCAAATCTAGTCAGTAGAGAGAAGGCTGGTAATACTGGCACTTGATATGCCAAAACCTGCAGCCAAATGAGGGGGAGGGTGGGGATGTGAAGACAAAAAATGGAAATCCTAATAAACTAGCTGAATTAGACAACTCACACTCATGTCTTCTTTGGAATCTAGGGTACTGAAAATGTCAGTTCGCAATTCTGCTGCAGGCATATCCCCTCAGGTTCAAGTCTCAGAAACAGAGCGCTCAGAATTCTGCAGGCTTAACTCTCTTTTTTGGATCTTCACAAATGATCACATCTGGAGTCCACACAGCCCTACTCTACAGGGCGAGGCTACAGGGCCAGGTGAGCATAGCCCAAAGCTGCCCTTGAGAGGGAACAACTTCATAGCATGTCGACAACAACAACAAAAACATCCATTCAAGGCCGGGCGCGGTGGCTCAAGCCTGTAATCCCAGCACTTTGGGAGGCCGAGGCGGGTGGATCACGAGGTCAAGAGATCGAGACCATCCTGGCCAACATGGTGAAACCCCGTCTCTACTAAAAATACAAAACATTAGCTGGGCATGGTGGCACATGCCTGTAATCCCAGCTACTCAGGAGGCTGAGGCAGGAGAATTGCCTGAACCCAGGAGGCGGAGGTTGCGGTGAGCCGAGATTGCGCCATTGCACTCCAGCCTGGGTAACAAGAGTGAAACAATGTCTCAAAAAAAAAAAAAAAAAAAAAAAATCCATTCACACAAGCACAGGTAGTCTGAGTCTAGGCAACTGTGCTTGGTCCTGGGTATTGTTCTCGTCTTCATTCACTTGACCCACAAGTTTACCACATTATCTTTCTGTTTCTTCTCAGCCCTCTGCTCTCTTCTCTCCCTGGGTCTCTCCATCCCCAAGACCATGAAAACAAGTGCCTTTTCATATGTTTAGTAACCATATGGATTTCTGTAATTGCCTGGTCGTATCCTCTACCCATTTTCTAATGTATTGTTAGATACTGTATTCGTTAATGTATTGTAGTTTTCTATTGCTGCTGTAACAAATTACCACAAAACAAATTTATTTTGTCAGAAGTCTGATATGGAGCCTAGGTGCAGTGGCTCACACCTGTAATCCCAATACTTTGGGAGGCTGAGGAGGGCTGATAGCTTGAGCCCAGGAGTTTGAGACCAGCCTGGACAACACGGCAAAACCCTGCCTCTGCAAAAAAAAAGAATACAAAAATTAGCTGGGCATGGTGATCCACGCCTATGGTCCCAGCTACTCAGGAGGGTGAGTGGGAGGATCACCTGAACCAGAGAGGTCAAGGCTGCAGTGAGCCAGGACTGAACCAGTGCATTCTAGGCTGGGCAATAGAGACCCTGCCTCTTCCCCCACAAAAAAAGTCTGACACATATCTCACAGGGCTAAAATCAAAGGGTTGGCAGGGCTACATTGTTTTCTCTAGGTTCTGGGTAGGATTCACTCCTTGCCTTTCCCAGTTTCTAGAGGCTGCCCACATTTCTTGGCTACTGAGCCCGTTCTTCTATCTTTAAAGCTAGCAAAGGCAAGTCAAGTTCTTCTCACATCGTATCACTCTGACCTCTTTTGCGTTCCCTCTTCCACTTTTAAGGATCCTTATTACACTGGGCACAGCTGAATAATCCAGGACATTCTTCCAATTTCAAGTCAGTTGATGGCCAGGTGCAGTGGCTCATGCCTGTAACAGTCTCAGTACTTCAGGAGGCCAAGGCAGTTGGATTGTTTGAGGCCAAGAGTTCAAGACCAGTCTGGCCAACACGGCAAAACCCCACCTCTACTAAAAATACAAAAATTAGCCAGGCATGATGGTGTGTGCCTGTAATCCCAGCTACTCTGGAGGCTGAGGCAGGAGAATCACTTGAATGCAGGAGGAGGTGGTTGCCAAGATCATGCTACTGCACTCCAGCCTTGGAGGTAAGAGCAAGACCTTGTCTCTAAATAAATAAAGTCAGTTAATTAGCAACCTTAATTCCATCTGCAATCTTAATGCCCCTTCTGCATGTGAAACAATATATACATAGGTTCCAAAGATTACGATGTGGGCATCCTGGGGGGCCATAATCCTGCCTACAGAGATAGTAATCCAACCGGTTATGTATGCCGCAAATATTTTCTTCCAATCTGTAGCTTATTGTCTAATTTTACGGTGACTTCTACTGTATCAAAGTTAAATTTTTTATGTATTTAAATCTACCAACATTTTACTTCATGACTTCTAAAATATTTTCTCTTGGCACATTGATACTTTTATATATTTATGTTTTAAATTTCTGATTTTTATGGTATGAGGTGATAATCTAACCTTCCCCAAAATGCTGTCCAATGTACCAATACTGTTTTTTAAAAAATAGAGTGTCTTGAGCCCATTCCATTAAATATGCCATACTATAAGAACAAATGTCATTTCTAAGCATCTCGAGGCTTCAGGTCCCCATATCAACAGCATACCAGACATCATATCATATTCAACTTGTCCAAAAATGTATTTTCCCTTTAGCCTCCAACATGCCCATTCCTATGAAAACACATGATATCCACCTAAATACTTAAGCTTTGACTCCTCCCTCTTCTCTGATCTAATATATCATCAAATCTTGTTGGGCGGGCTTGGTGGCTCATGCCTGTAATCCCAGCACTTTGGGAGGTTGCAGCAGAAGGACCATTTGAGGTCAGCAGTTCGATACCAGCCTGGTCCACATGGTGATACCCTGTCTCTACTAAAAATACAAAAATTAGCCAGGTGCGGTGGTATGCACCTATAATCCCAGCTACTCAGGAGGCTGAGGGAGAAGAATTGCTTGAACTGGGAGGTGAAGGTTGCAGTGAGCTAAGATCATGCTACTGCACTCCGGCCTGGGCAACAGAGCAGGACTCCATCTCAACAACAGCCAACAAAAATCTTGTCAATTATACCTACGAAATGTATTTCAAATTCACCTTTACCTCTCCATTTCCACCATCACTATTGTCTTAGTTATTATTTCTCACTAAATTGGTTGCTCTATTCCTTCTAATCCATGCTGCACATGGCTATAATTCTCTGGACTGGCCCAATCTCTTCAACGAGTGTCATACAAGTTTGAGTAAAAGGCTAGAAGTTGTGATACATGGTTATAACTCTGGCTACTTGGGAGGCTGAGGCTCTGGAGAATCCCTTGAGCCCAAGACATAGTGTGCTATGCTGATAGGGTGCCGACTGATGCTAAGTTTGGCATCAATACAGTGACCTTCCAGGAGTGGGGGACCACTAGTGCCTAAGGAGGGGTGAACTGGCCCAGGTAGGAAACAGAGCAGATAAAATTCCTGCACAGATCAGTAGTGGTATAGCAACTGTAAATAGCCACTGCACTCTAGCCTAAGCAACAGAGCGAGATTCTCTTATTTTTAAGTTTTAATAAAGGAACCTAAGAGATGCCAACTTGTTGGATATTGGTTTGGTCCAAATAGCTGTGAATGACATTTGGGTCACTTGGGAAAAACTCTGAATATGGTGTGAGTATCTAGATTGATGCCTGACCTCTAGAATTTTGTTTTTAGAGACAGGGTCATGCTCTGTCACCCAGGCTGGAGTGCAGTGGTATGATCACAGCTCACTGCAGCCTCTAACTCCTGGGCTTAAGTGATCCTCCTGCCTCAGCCTCTTGAGTAATTAGGACTACAGCTGTGCCTCACCATGCTCAGCTAACATTTTTTAATTTTATTTTTTGTAGAAATGAGGTCTCACTCTGTTGCCTGGGCTGGTCTCAAACTCCTGGCCTCAAGTAATCCTCCTGCCTCAACCTCCCAAAGTGCTGGGATTATAGGCATGAACCACCATCACCATGCTCAACCAAGAACATTTATGTAAAGAGAAAGGTAGAGATACTGACCAAAACCAAAAAGTTACAATGCAGTAGGATCTCAACTTGGGTTTAAAAATACCATATGTAGGCCAGGCGCGGTGGCTCAAGCCTGTAATCCCAGCACTTTGGGAGGTCGAGGCAGGTGGATCACAAGGTCAAGAGATCGAGACCAACCTGGTCAACATGGTGAAACCCCGTCTCTACTAAAAAATACAAAAAATTAGCTGGGCATGGTGGCGCGTGCCTATAATCCCAGCTACTCAGGAGGCTGAGGCAGGAGAATTGCCTGAACCCAGGAGGCGGAGGTTGCGGTGAGCCGAGATTGCACCATCGCACTCCAGCCTGGGTAACAAGAGCGAAACTCCGTCTCAACAACAACAACAACAAAAAAAAAAAAAAAAAAAATTACCATATGTAGGCTGGGCGCGGTGGCTCACGCCTATAATCCCAGCACTTTGGGAGGCCGAGGCGAGTGGATCACGAGGTCAAGAGATCGAGACCATCCTGGTCAATGGTGAAACCCCGTCTCTACTAAAAATACAAAAAATTAGCTGGGCATGGTGGTGTGTGCCTGTAATCCCAGCTACTCAGGAGGCTAAGGCAGGAGAATTGCCTGAACCCAGGAGGCGGAGGTTGTGGTGAGCCGAGATCATGCCATTGCACTCCAGCCTGGGTAACAAGAGCAAAACTCTGCCTCAAAACAAACAAACAAACAAACAAAAAACATATGTAGCCAGGCACAGTGGCTCACACCTGTAATCCCAGCACTTTGGGAGGCTGAGATGGGCGGATCACCTGAGGTCAGGAGTTCGAGACCAGCCTGACCAATATGGTGAAACCCCATCTTAAAAAAATAAATAAATAAAATACCATATGTACAGACACATACACACACAAAAAAAGATCCAGAAACATATGCACGAAAGTTATTAAAATAGTGACCTCTGGTTATTAGAAATATTTTTAAATTTTTGCTTTTATTTTTCTCAATTTCTTTACTATTTTGAGACAGAGTCTCATTCTGTCACCCAGGCTAGAGAGCAGTGGCAAGATCACTGTTCATGCCTATAATCGTGGCCTCTACCTCCTGAGTTCAAGTGATCTTCCCCCCTCAGCCTACCGAGTAGCTAGGACTACTGGCACACACCACCACACGCAGCTAATCTTTTTATTTTTTGCAGAGATGGGGTCTTACCATGTTGCCCAGTCTGATCTTGAACTCCTGAGCTAAAGCAATCTGCTCGCCTTGGCCTCCCAAATTGCTGGGATAACCAGTGTGATCT